ACTTCTTGTAATTATTAAATTTACCCTTTATACACAGTTCAAAAATTTCGTTTTTATTTAAAGAGAGAATTTATTGTTTAAAGAGATTTATTTGTCTATGTATTGGTTAAAGAGATTTATTGTTTACTAACTGTGTATTATTTTGCACCCAAAGATTACTAAAATGACGTTTATTTAAATTTGAAAATGTAACGAACTGTAATGAGAAATATTAATTTTGGATGGCTGCTCGACCGTGAAGCATACCTCTTGAAGGGGCAAGAAGTGGAAGTCAATCGTGCAACGTATTCCAGAAGGTCCCCGAAGGCGAGACGTCCATCCGTTAATCTAGGAAATTCCGGTTGTAAACGGGATGGGTATTGCCGCTGGGGGGCACCCCATATAATCCTATACAAGTTAACACCGATTTTATAGTCAATTTGTTAACTTGGTAATCGGTTGAGCATCCTGCCGAAAAATTGAAATTTTAATCTTATTTCTGATCAATAACCTGCGAGCAAAATATCACACGAGAAGGGAGGGTCAACAAGTAAAATATCTTAAGGAGAATTCAATACAAATCCTATGAAAACTCGTTGCAAATTTTGTCTCACTTTCTGTTGATAAAAAGAAAAAATTCTTCTAATTTGTTTGACAAATGCGTCGTTTGTGCCCTGCGGCACCGATTAGTTGCGTAATTTTCGTCTTGGATGAAAAGTCACAAGAGCGGAAAAGGTAAAAGCACACATTAGTACAGGTCCGTTTAATTGGGACCTCCACGGAGGCATAATGTTCGCGCGTGCCATATGCGACGTCTTCGAGGGAGCTCCTCAAGCACCCCCGGGGACATCATCGTTGTCCTGCATAGTCCTCCAGAAGGACTCGACGTGCAACGGCAGTGAACCGTGAAAATTTAATGTCCAGTTCCTTCGAGGGGCCAAAGAGGAGTGTACTGTTACCGCAACATGGCGGAAGTCGGATATCCAGGCCCGTTCGATGGAGCCAGCTGGTCGGATCCGTGGGTGGTCTATCGATGTTGTTCGTTTGCTCTATAAACTTGAAGAGTTAGATCCTTGGCCAGGTGTAGATTAATACACGATCTTTAAATTGAACTATGGTACAATGTATGGTCGAGTACGAGGACTTCCTTTGAAGAACATTGTGAACTTGACGTTTTACCTCCAAAGTAAATGTTTCCGAATGTTTAAATCCACAAATTACATTTATAGATTGATGAAATTTTTTTCCAGGTTTATTCGCAAATTTTATGGGTTTAATGTATTCAAATTTCTTGAACTCGCAGATTGCAGATTTTTTTAAGTCCCGAACTTATTCGAATCTCCAAATTTCTAATTCGACGAATCTCTAAATCTCTAATTCTTAGTACCTTTCTTCAGATACCTAAATCGCTGATTCTCCAAACACCCAAATCGCTAATTCTCAAATACCTAAATCCCTAATCCAAATTTCTAATTTTTCAAATCCCCAAATTTCTAGATTACGAAACTTCTAAGTTCAATACCGCCGAAATTAAAATAACTTTAATAAACTAATCCTCTAATGGAGTGAATGAAAATGTGAAGTAAGGTGTTTTCAACGAGACATATTTTACGTTTATGGAAACAAAGAGACGACCGTAGGTGAAGGACGAGAGTTAACAATTTCATGAGCATGCACGCGATACTATTTAGATAACGTTCCGTAATTTGTAACGATCATGGAAGAAAATAGTGTAGGAAGATTGAAAGAGATTGCTCGGAGATAGATATTATTGGCATGCTTGGTTCGCCATTCGATGTTAATCTTTTTTTCGACATACATGAGTATTTATGTGCAACACTGTAATCTATACAATAGGCACTTCCTTCTTCAAATCGTTAACATTATTTGCAAGGTGTGTTGCAATCGATTCCAGGTAATCGAAAGATTGTTTGCGGAATTAAATCGAATTTGTTCGCCTTTGGCAAACTGTACATCGTCTATTATTATTTTTTTAATTTTGCTAGAAACAGATAAATATGAGACATCAAAATCATTCAATAAAATGAAATAAAAACAAACTTATTGTACAGACTCCTATATTATTATTAACTTGAATGGAGATCAAGGAAATACACAAATTGTGCAAAATTTGTTGCATAAAAGTGTTGTTCCTAAATTTTTACAAAAATTCGTAATTTTGAGTCAAAAGAAACAAGATGAAATGCACAGCAAACTAAAGATCTAATTAAATACAATTTTGTATGATAAATTGTAATTTAAAATTGAGATATGAAAATCAAATTTTATTTAAAAATAAATTAATCGAAATCTCAAGTTTAGAGAAGCAAAATTATCTTGTTTGTCAGTTGTTCCACCATCTTGAGGAATTCAGCCCACAGTTTTACAAACTCACCTCTTTGTCGTCTTACCTTGGCAAGGTGGCGGTCCTTATCCCAGGATCAAGTGCACGTCGCGTGAAACGATTTCTCGACAGGAAGAGAGGATCCTTCTGCAAGGTATTCTGCAGTAAATTTTATTGTTCGGAGACAGGACGACCCACGCTGTCCGGCTTCAACGACGAGCAAATAAAAATCTTATCGTAGTTTGTACACTCTGATGAAACCTCTCTCGTATACCACTTGTCTTCTGTAACAATACAATTACAACGTTCGACTTCGCTTGTTAAGGAAATATCTGCCTATCGATCGATAAATCGATACAGTAATCTCATAGAAGACACTTTCCATTTTGCTACATAGCCAACCATCACATCCATGACTCATTTTTTACGTTCATATTCTTTTTTTTAATATTTATATCTTTCATCTGAGTGTACAAGATGTGACTTCGCATTTTTTTAATTATTTCTATACTAATAGCTATTTAATATATTTACCCCTGAATTTAAAAATACTTTCGATATAAGTTTTTATAATTAAAAAAATATTTAACTCTGTACATTACGTGACACCAAAAGTGGACAGATTAAATGTTCCATTTTAAGCTTGAACATTAATATTTTAAAATTAAATGGAAAAGATGTGTACTCGTTTCAAGGGACAAATGAAGTGTGAATGAAATAAGTTTTCCAATAACTTCTGTTCAAAAAAGAAACGGAGGTTTACGGCTCTCGAATGGATGCGCGAGTAGGAGAAACAAGTTGCCATTCCCACGGCAGGATGCTGCGACCACTTTCGCTATTATCCAACATTATCCAACGTATTGCGAAACGCATAATGGGTTCGTGTCTGCGAGATATTTTCAATCGGATCTTCTTGACTCATTGTATACCGCAACTGCATAGATTTCATCGAGTTGGATTAATTGAGTTAGAAAGCTACGTCTTAATAAACAGCCGAAGAGCCCCTTTATCCTCGAAGTAATAAAAAATGAGCGAGAATTATTTATTTCGTGATTAGAGGATTTTGTGAGTTACATTCTGTGACGATTATCGTGAAATGTTCCTTTATAAATCATAGTTGCTCAATTTATATATTTATTCAATTTATTTCATTTTCATTGGAAGGATAATTTTACTTCTGAACTTAAATTTTGAAATTCTTTTAAAAGTTTAGAAATTTAACAAGTTTTAACTTTAAGCTTTTAGGTAAGCTTTTAGCAGTTCTTTTTAAACATACAGAATTTTTCAAATTTAAATTTACAAAATCGAGAAGTATCAAAATTCTTGAATTCATCATTTGAAAACTGTTCTTTCAAAGTTCACGCATTCCGAAGTTCGAAAAGTTCCACCTTTTTAACATAAGAAAATTTCGAGCGCCGAAGGGTCTCGGTTAGAGCCCCGTTCGCAAGGATATAACGGAAGTACTCGAAAATAATGCAGTTTTCATGGATTCCACAGATTCTATGGCTCTGAAAATAGACAATGGTTAGTGGGAAAAATTTGTCTTATTACGCTGAAATAAAACGAAATCGATTACCGTTGGTTGCATGGCGGTCGACTCGAAGCCGACCCGCGTTTCATTACACCTGCGTCCCTATGAGCAAGAAGCAACAATTCCGTCGGGTTTTCTCAGCCCTCGTCGTAAACAGTAATGGCATAGTGTTTCGCCACGGTGCACCTGAACGGAACGCCATCGCTGTTCCTCCAACACCTGTTCCCGACACCTGACATCAAGGTTCGTTTCTCCGCAGGGGTTCGGTCGCGAAAAGAGACCATCATCAATTGTCGCCTATCTTTAATACGTTGTTCGACTTATGCTAGATGTATCAATTAGTCTTTATGTTAAAATGAAAAGATACATGCTAAAACAAGCATAAATATTTTCTGAAACTAAATTTTTTCGAGATATGAAATTTTAGTGAAAAGTTTCTTTAATTCTTTATTGAAGTTCTTAGAAAAGGCTTACTGATTTATATAAATTATAACGGTATGTGATGTTATAAAACAAAATTCAACGTGTACGAAACTTCTCTGTTTTTATCGCGAGATTTTCAAGATTGTAATATACCCATTAATTTGACGGTGTTTATGAATTAGGGACTACTGCACTATTTCTGCACTGGTCACAAAATGAAATATTTCACGCACAACCTGTCGATATATTTTGCACGGTTAAAAGTAAGGATAAAGATATAAGTGAACGGTGAAAGAGTAATTGATATAGGGATTAATTATCTTGATTACAATCAGTATTTGTCAGAAAGTTTGTCAATTTTAAAATCTTTTCGAAATTTCATTTTACAGTTTTTGGTATTCTTTATCGTTGAACTTCACTTTACACGAAGTACAGGTCTATGAAATTAGAAATCTTGAATTTTGCTTTAATTATTGACAGTTAATCGAATATTTAAGTACTTGTAACTTCTATTTCGTTGTACAGCACCTTCAGAGTATGCAATTACTTTGAATCATGTGTCGTGCGGGTTGCGTCTGCAGGAGCATAAAGTTGCAGCACTATCGAAGAAATATTTATCAAATAATTTTACGTTTAAATACAGAACATGCAATTGTTTCGAATGAAAATTAACATATATATTTAATTAATAACTTCGTTACAACGATTCTTAGTCTACCGTAATTTGTAAATTCAACAAAAGAATGTTATAAAATAAGAATATATCGATTTTGATTGTCCCATATAGTTTATGACGTTGTAATAAAATTTCCGTTTATTATGCAATCATCCGTGGTAGCCTGAAAATAAATATGTCAGATTTTACGTTCGTCTTCTCTATTTATCGCCGTCTCTTAATTATTATTATATAAATTTACAATAGTATACTACATACTTTTAGATCTTTCACTATATAATAACATTATCGCAGATGGGAACACAGTAAACTCTCAAAAATGTTTATAGAAGTTAGTAATGCTTTTGATAGAAAATGCCAAAAATTATAAACCACGTTAGAAATAAAACCTACCGCTTAAGCAATTGTAGCCACTGCACTGTTTCGAAGAATCGACATTTTGTGTTGCGTAGCAAGAAGCATCACACCTGTAATTGTAATATATTCCACATCCTGAGCAGTCAATTCCAATACGATATCCACCATATCCACCATATCCACCATATCCACCATATCCACCATATCCGCCATATCCGCCATATCCATTATACACCTATAAAAAATACATAATGTTATTAATGTTTTTTACGGAAACAAGTAATCGAAAAATGTTTAATGTCTATTTCTTTCACCCCGATATGTACATTTAATAGAAGCGTATTAAAATGTAAAATTTGAGCGTACTTACACTAATGCAAAGCCATATGTTTACATATGGACATCCGCTATAATGTGGATACTGTGGTTGCGGTGGACAGTAGCAGGTAGCTAATTAAAAAAAATATTAATCTCATTAATAAATACGCATTTTCACATTTACATTATTTCTTTATGCCCTGACTGCATGACATTTGTTAATGAATATACGTATTGTGTGTTACCAGATGCGTCTTTACCATGAGAAATTAACAGAATGCAATGATGTTAGTTGGTGCATCATATATGACTTACACTTATTCTCGTAACGCATATTAAAGTTTAATAAATTTATCTCTTCTCATGTATGATACACGAATTATTCTAAAAACGTTTGCTAGTAATGTACAGACTATATATTGTAAAGAAATTGCCAAAAAGTTTTACTAATCGTAAGCAGATTGCGCTTGAAAATCAGGACGTCGTGTACAAAATATAGCATAATACACAGCAAAGTTATGACATACGTATTGTGTACAAAAATAAATGAAGTGCTGCTGATATCACACTTTACGAAAAGTTGATTCGCATAATTATAGACGATGCGATGTTTTGTTACTTACGACAACATGGCGGTGGTGGCGGTGGTGGCGGTGGTGGCGGTGGTGGCGGTGGTGGCGGTGGTGGCGGTGGTGGCGGTGGTGGCGGTGGTGGCGGTGGTGGCGGTGGTGGCGGTGGTGGCGGTGGTGGCGGTGGTGGCGGTGGTGGCGGTGGTGGCGGTGGTGGCGGTGGTGGCGGTGGTGGCGGTGGTGGCGGTGGTGGCGGTGGTGGCGGTGGTGGCGGTGGTGGCGGTGGTGGCGGTGGTGGCGGTGGTGGCGGTGGTGGCGGTGGTGGCGGTGGTGGCGGTGGTGGCGGTGGTGGCGGTGGTGGCGGTGGTGGCGGTGGTGGCGGTGGTGGCGGTGGTGGCGGTGGTGGCGGTGGTGGCGGTGGTGGCGGTGGTGGCGGTGGTGGCGGTGGTGGCGGTGGTGGCGGTGGTGGCGGTGGTGGCGGTGGTGGCGGTGGTGGCGGTGGTGGCGGTGGTGGCGGTGGTGGCGGTGGTGGCGGTGGTGGCGGTGGTGGCGGTGGTGGCGGTGGTGGCGGTGGTGGCGGTGGTGGCGGTGGTGGCGGTGGTGGCGGTGGTGGCGGTGGTGGCGGTGGTGGCGGTGGTGGCGGTGGTGGCGGTGGTGGCGGTGGTGGCGGTGGTGGCGGTGGTGGCGGTGGTGGCGGTGGTGGCGGTGGTGGCGGTGGTGGCGGTGGTGGCGGTGGTGGCGGTGGTGGCGGTGGTGGCGGTGGTGGCGGTGGTGGCGGTGGTGGCGGTGGTGGCGGTGGTGGCGGTGGTGGCGGTGGTGGCGGTGGTGGCGGTGGTGGCGGTGGTGGCGGTGGTGGCGGTGGTGGCGGTGGTGGCGGTGGTGGCGGTGGTGGCGGTGGTGGCGGTGGTGGCGGTGGTGGCGGTGGTGGCGGTGGTGGCGGTGGTGGCGGTGGTGGCGGTGGTGGCGGTGGTGGCGGTGGTGGCGGTGGTGGCGGTGGTGGCGGTGGTGGCGGTGGTGGCGGTGGTGGCGGTGGTGGCGGTGGTGGCGGTGGTGGCGGTGGTGGCGGTGGTGGCGGTGGTGGCGGTGGTGGCGGTGGTGGCGGTGGTGGCGGTGGTGGCGGTGGTGGCGGTGGTGGCGGTGGTGGCGGTGGTGGCGGTGGTGGCGGTGGTGGCGGTGGTGGCGGTGGTGGCGGTGGTGGCGGTGGTGGCGGTGGTGGCGGTGGTGGCGGTGGTGGCGGTGGTGGCGGTGGTGGCGGTGGTGGCGGTGGTGGCGGTGGTGGCGGTGGTGGCGGTGGTGGCGGTGGTGGCGGTGGTGGCGGTGGTGGCGGTGGTGGCGGTGGTGGCGGTGGTGGCGGTGGTGGCGGTGGTGGCGGTGGTGGCGGTGGTGGCGGTGGTGGCGGTGGTGGCGATGATGGACATGGGGTCGGCGGGGTGCATTGTGCTAATTAAATGAAAAAATAATTATTCAATTAAAAGTAATAACCTGTGCTCCTTTCCTTGCAAGAATAACTATAATTAGAATTCGAATCGTATTAAATGATCCTTTCGTTACTCACGACAACATGTTACATTCGCATTGAAGTTATTGCGAATATCGATTACGGTGGAAATGTTAGTACTCGCTGGCTGGATAACATTCTCCTTGGTCTTGCACTCCGCGGAAATACAGTCAATTTCCTCTTCGTATATGTGCTTGCGTTTTGTTATCTGTGCGCAAAAGCTGCACTTGCTTTCGCATTTTAATGCAGGGCTGCAGTTGTCATAGCAATCGTCCGGGCAATGAGAATCTTAATGAAATTTCATTTATGCACATTAATCGTGTATCATTAAAGTGACTAAAAATAGAAGTATACATTTACAACTAAAAAAGATGTACAAAGACTAAAGATTAGCATTAAACAGCATTGGACGTTTAACACTTTAAGCAATATTAGATCTATCATAATATGAATCCCTTATAAATTGTTTTTGGTGTCTAACCGTAACGGGGATAATTATGATGTCTTTTCAGTCTCCTCAAGCACTGTATGTAGGTCCTGTAATCCGAGTGCTTGCATTCCGATTCTTTCGCATATGCGGCCTCAACAGAGGTGTCTAGCAACGCGAACTCAACCAAACAGACTAGAACGACAATAAAGCAAACTGTCCGCGACAGCATCGCGAAACTTTAACGAAATGGGTGACCGATGCGAGACGATCCTCTCTTTATACTCATTACAGGTCGTTGGGCAAACAACTTGCACGTTAATTCCTCTGTTAGAGGGTTAGAAGATGTTTACACCAAGCGCAGAGATAGCAGAAACGTCGCACTCTAAACTAATATTTTAGCACGTAAATTTTTCACCGCGCCTGGAAAGCCGCCACGACAAATTTGCACTGCTTATCATGAAATTACATTGGTATCCTCTTTCCTGCTTCGCTGGAAATGCAACTAAAATTATTATATTTTGATAAATATCGATTATGGTACCTTATTTTCGGCTTGAAACCACCATGACAATCGTAGATAACACTAACGGTAACAAAGTATGGGATCAGATTAGTTCATTTGGTTATTTTAGACTAGATTTCGATCTAGCTCTTTTGCAACTTGAGTAACTACAATTGGAACTATTTACTTTGAGACTTAACGTGAAATAATTGTATCATTTTATAAACTGAACCAGGGTTGACAATCATAGTTAAATACTGTACATTTTTTAACACATATCGACTTCATATTGTTCTCCAAATCAGTTAGGTGTAATCCAATAAATTTGGAGCCTCTCAAGTTTGTTTATTCTCTGACCTGACTCACTTTGATTATTTCTTTTAACTTTGTTCATATTTTGAATTTGTTCATATTCCTATCCAAACTGATACAACTTGATCATTCTTTGATCAAACCTTAATCAATTTGATCGTTCTGTTGATTAAGCTTAACAACGCATTCTTCGATTAATTGCAACCTCGTTATTTTCGATCAAAAAATAACGAAACCTCATCATTTTTAGACTGATCTTGACCATATGCTACACAAATTAAGACTTGAGCACCATGGCACGCCCATGTATTACGTTTTTATGGCGTTTGTCAAAGCAATTATGACACTATTTGCTCTACAACTAGGACCGATAGCTCTGATAAAAGTCAAGCAAACGATGATCTGTAGATAGCATCAAAATATTCAGATTAAATATACTTTAATCCGTTCAGTAGACGCGAAGTAACAATCGGATAAAAAACGTTATCTAATAGGTCAGAGAAATAAAACATAGCGCATTGAACTATACATCGGGGCTGGTCTTCATTGTGTGTGAAGTATTTGGCTGTTTGCAGAATTCTCGAGAAATTGAAAGGAAATTTAAGTTTATATAATTCCGTAGAAACTAATTATCAAAGTTCTAAATTTGATTATTATATTTATTTTCTGAGTCTTTTTCTAAATCATCAAATTGCTAGATAGCAAATACCCAATTCTTCAAACCATCTTATAAACCCTAAACCCTAAAATTCTAAAATGTTCAAACGAATCAAATAATTATTTATTTGATTAAATTTGTCCTAGTGGACAACCTCCGAGGTAATTGACGTTTTAACGCAGCATTAAAAATAATAAAAAGAGTCCGCACTGTCCCGTGCGATCGTTTTGTGTCATTACAATTTGTTTGCACGCATAGTTAAACATAATACCACGCGTGGTATCCAATTATTTCTTAGAAGCGGGTGTACTCGAGCGAATTGAACGCGCTTGGTAGCAAAACCGTCCATTTCAACCAGAAAGAAGCTGCATGCCGTACATGATTATACGGGGATAACTGCATAAACATGGTGGAAACAGTAAACATTTGGCAACAACCTCTGATTATATACTTTCAGCATGACTTTCCAGCGAACCGTTAAAGGAATTTCTTTGTGACAATATACACGTGCAGGATGAGATAATGACACATTTTGCATAACGTTCGTGGAAGATAAATATTGCAGTGATAACGTGTAAAGATAGCAAGGGAAAGGTTACTTTATATTACATAAGCGAATTATACAACGATGAATTACATTAATAAGTTTATTTACAGTTTCCAATACATTTTCTTTCGTTTGTAAAAATGCATCTGAAATATGTCGTTTCGATACAGTTACGTATTTGCGGAAACGTTTTACTCCAATTTTTCTACGATACTTCAGTAAATTATTTGAACAGAGATATCCTAAATCAGATATCTTATTCTTGATCAAGTATTTACAAGTCGATCGCTACAAATTCTCGATGTGAGTGTTTGTATAGTTTTAGATATAGTACGATCTTATTATATTGCCGATTAATGACATTATCAAGCTTGCAAATTATTCATTTAAAAATTTGAGAATTTGAGATTATGGGGATTTGAAAATTTATATGACATCATTTATTTGACGTCTCTTACTGTATTCCTGAATGAAGGTGTAGTCATTGCCCTCTTATCAGGATTTCTAGGTACACGTACCTTATCGCTTTTTTTACCGGTGTCAACTATCGATATCTGTGGCATTTTTAGTTAATAAATATCGGACAAGCACGACGCCCTAAAAAGTGCATTTTTAGTACTCAAGTTTCAATACAGGATATTTACTTATAATTTTTCAATCTTCTAATTATTCCACACCAATATAGCTCTATTAAAATCGCTTTATTTTAACACGTGACTCACGATCGCCGAGACATAATTAGAACGCTTATTAGACCATCACGAGTCCTGATTTCCAATCGGCAGGCCTTGCGAATGACACACTGTACATGCAATTAAACGTTATTATATCCGAGAATGTCATCAAGGAACGTCTGTAGTATGTTGTTATAAGTGTGATTAATGTTAGAAGTTTCGCAAAAAAGATCTATTAATAATCTAACAAAAAATGTGTTAGCGTTTACAATAATTTGGGTCGCGATCCCGTATTGCAGTGGCTGAAAATAATTTTAATCGATGCTCATACGGTACAAAGATGGCGACTGGAATATTAATGCCTCGTAACAGTAGAATTTTTCTAAACGAACCGTTTAAAATGATGCTACTGAGTTTTCTTGATAAAGTCTTCTCTTTATTAAGCCATTAAAAGATTTGTAACTTGAAGATTTTTTAGAAAGTGTACACTGATGAGATATATGTTGCATGGTCCGTTTGTTGCCAGCCTAAAAATTTTATGCTGCCATTAATGTTTAACCTCATTTTGTTAGTACCGTTCGATCACCGGAAGCGCAGCATCATACGTGATGACATTTAATACCCAGCCTCATTCGGACAGTGTTAATTCTTTCCTTCCTTTCTAATATTTCATTATTTTCAAAGTCCAGTGAATTTAGTTCAAAGAAAATAACCGAATGAAAGAAACATAATTACAACACCAGTGTTGAATAATATTTACAACAGTCTTTGTAATTTCTGTGCGAAGACAATGTTATAGAAAGGATATGGATCTAGTTTATTTATCTGACCAAGGACCATTAAACAGCGACGCCCAGATTTCTCTGCAAACAACACAGAAGTGAGATTCCACGGACAAATGAAATTTGTTTTCTATCATCAGCTTTCTTTTACCGGAACTAGATTTTTACCTGTTTCCGCTATGTGCACCGATCGTTTTCTCGTTTTGTCGGATGTAGGACAAACATTGTTTCGAATGTAACAAAATTATGTTTAAAAGTCAAAAGAGATTTTATAGATTTAAATAAAAATGTCATCCTTACTTGTTAAAATTAACATCTGCGTTAAGTGCAGTTGTTACTTAAATGAATATATGTCCGAAACTATTTAAGACTCTTTTAATAAATTAATACTTTTGAACCGTACTGTACGCATAACATGATACTTTAAATCAGTTAAGATTGAGTATGATTAGAATTAATCAGCCGAAGCTATCTTACTGATACACCAAACGGCATGATTTTTTTAAAAATTGATCACATGATTTTTAGTACCAAGAATTTGAGGGTACAGATATTCTATGATAATCTTGTTCCAAAATTGATTATGAGATGGGCATAACCTCTGTTCCTGTGACGTGACCGCGGCAGAAAAGTAACGGGCACTGTGGCACGTTGTGCTTTCAACGCAGTAGACTCTAAATACATCGGGTGTTCGAAAATTACAATCTCTACATAGTATACAATTTTAGTCTATCAAGAAATATTGATCAGTTAATTACTAACCCTTGTACAGCACTGAGTCTCAGTCCACTGAGATGTTTGACAGTTTAAATCAAATGTCAGACTTTTCCATTTTCATTTTCTAAAATGTAAATTTTTCCTCTAGATGCTATTTTTGCTGTACAAAGAAGTCCTTTCTTTCAAAATCTAGTCAAAGTGTTCTTGCATGTGTTTCGTATGTTTACTTTTTATCGTAGAATCACTCGTCATCCATTGTCGCTTTTTCCCGCCATTTCACTTAACCTCTATTACCCTAATCAGTTCACAGTGTTCTAAAAATCAAAACAATACTCAGTTAGCTAAATAATAAACTGATCGAAATAATAATTAATAGTGAAAATGTTTTTTAATAATACTTGATAGGGTACTAGTACGAGTACTAGCTTTTTCTTCGACGAACAAGCAAGCATAGATTCTATCAACGCACACAAATCGATATTTTGAATAATTTATCTCGCATTCCTACGACGTTAACCTTCTTGTATTAATTTACAAGTGCACATATAAATTTATAGTTTGTGTTACTTTTTCTTTAAATGAATAGATACGTACGCATTATATTTACATTTACAACTCAATATTTTAAACAACTTGACTTTCACTCCTAATAACAAATTGTAGTGATTCCTTAATTAATAATATTCCTGCTTGAAAATCACTCTTTATCCACTTTCCTCTTTCTCCCGCCATTTCGTAAATCTCTAACTTCTGCACTAATCAGTCCATGATCAAATGCCTGATGTCTGTTCTAAAAGCAATAATTTCTATTTCAAAAATTCATTCACTAAATGAATCTTATGGAATGAAATAAAAAGTAATGAAAAGTACCTGATGCGGATATCCTGTTCAAAAGAAGAAGAAATATGAATGCAACAGGATTGTCAGGACACCGTATAGGAAAGGTGGTCGAAGTGGGGTGGCGCTGTCCCGTGTGCGCGGCGTGCGTGTGCCTCGGGACGCGCAATGGCCGCCGTGACCCGACGTGCGGCGGTTCAGTGTCAATCGTCCTTAATTTTCCCGTTTTAATTCGCCGTTCCACGCCCACGAAAATGCGCGCTACCTCGTCGTGCATACAGTCGATGCGGCTCCGTGACGCGGTGTACTTCGACGAACCCGAGTGTTCCTTCGTCGGCGCGATCCTGTCGCGGATGTTTCAACGGTCGTCGAGAATCGCCGTGTACGGTGACACGCGACCGAGCGTGTCGAGAACGCGTGCATCCTGTTCTTTTCCTCGTGGATAATTGGCTCGACAGGTAAAAAAAAGAAACGACCCAGTGAACATGAATTTTCAACGTGTGCCCCCGTTGGGTGGCTCTCGTGTCTCGTGAAAGTGGTCCCCCAAGTTCCTGTGCCCGATTTTTGCGCCAGCAAGAACGGTCCGCCTCCTCCGAGAGGAAGTGTCAATTGACGGTTTAACGCGCGTTGTTAACAGATCGAACTTGGTGTTAAAAACATTCTTTTTTTCGAGTGAATAGTCGAAGTGAGAATCACTGGCGAGCAACAAGTGGTCTTCCAGCGGACGAGGGATGGGTAAAGCTCGCAGTCAGCTTTGAACCACGCTCCACCAACGTGTGTGCTCGCGCCGTGTGCGGAAAAAAAAGGCAATCGACAGTCAAGGTACGAAGGGTAAGTGCAATAACGGCTGTTTGTCGCGAGCCAAGGGTTAAATGAATATTGCACGTCATTTAAGAGCTGCGCAAACAAAGGTTTGCTCATGTACCGTTTCTCCCCCTTGTGAGAGTTTCTGCGTAACGAGAGTGTCATTGTTGAGCCTCTGTCCGTAAAACAGGAAACCGCTCGTAATGCGGAACAGTCAGCAATTATAATAACGTCTATCGTGCCAACGAAGACGAGATAACAGTACACTGTTATTATCTCGTGGTACAATATGTTATTATTAAGATTATTTTTTTTCGCTTTGGACGTTTTGAATCTGCGCGCGCAATCACTTCGGTAAAGTTCGTCTCGCAACCGATGTTCATAGTTCGATGAGAATGTAACGCCTGGCATGCTACGAGACAATTTATTCGAATAACCTGCATAATGGACAAGGAACGTATACGTAATTATATCGAGGATGGTAGGTATAAAATATCGAAGTATACTCTTACTCCGAGTATGGGGATAATTGGGGAGCAAGCTTATCGAACTTTCTATCGTACTTATTTACATATATTCGCAAAAATGAAACAAATGGAGTGTCTGATATTTAATTGCGACACCGTCGTAAGTGTATAAACCTGATCGGAATATGCCAGGTAAACGGCTACTGCGCGCATTTAAACTGAATCACGCGGGAAACGTGAAAAACAAATCTTGATAACCTGTTTGACAACAATGGTTATTGAAAAATGAACAGAGGAATATTTCTGTATGACAGAATTTGAAAAATGGGAACCAGTTATAGTGTTTAATGCGCATATCAGAATTTGCTTTTTGTTTTCTGCAATATATTTTTTCGTGCATTATATTCCTATATTGTAATGCGTAGGTTTACAAGGCTACATTACACAGAAATGTAGGACTTTAAAATTTTTTAATCTGGGGATGTCGGGATTTGAATTTTCAGATTTTGGAATTCTAAACTTTTTTAGTAGTTTACAGCTTTCGAGACTTTACGACTATTTTGAGATTTATTCCTGCAGGATATATGTTACTTCCCGTTTGCCTCAGGGTCGTGTTCGTCATCGGCGCATCTGTTATGCGAAATAGCATAACAATTGGCTCATCGTTTTGCGAATCGATGCAATTGTAGTGTTCGCGAGCAGAAACGGAATTATCAATGATTGAATAACTAATGGAAAACAGTGTTACAGGAGCGTGTAACCGAGATCATGAGTCTCATTATTTAAGTCTTATGTATCATTAACTAATTGCAATTGTTAAAGCGTGAAATAGCATGGCAAGATTTATGCGAGCACATTTAATTGTTTCTTAGAATATGATTAATTATTTCTCGAGATTGAAGACACACGGAAGTGGATTATATAAAAGTCGTTCGGCTTGCGAGAAGTGTTCGGTTATAATATTTGAAACGCTGTCGGTTTCGAGCGTATCGCACAAAATATCATTGGAAAGAAGATGCATTCACCATTAATCGAATTTCTTCTCCGCAGGTCGAAGCATCAAAGGTAGCAATTAGACGTTCTGACGTTGGAACGAGCATTGGTAACCCAGCGAACCGTGAACCCACCACCGGCAAACACGAGGAGCCACGAGAAATGTTACTTTCGTTTTTCGCGGGGAAATCGTGTCTGTCCGAGCAAGGATTGCAGGAATTACAGGAAAAGTGTTGCAAAACCGAGAATGCAGTCCGGTGGAACGAACGAGCTAACGCGAAAATTTGAACAAAGTCATCGGCAACGATTATTAAACTATGAACAACGATAAAAACGGGCCATTGTCGTTTAACACGGTTCACGCCTCTTTAGACGCTCATAATTAATTGGTTGAACATTGTAGGTCGAGCAAAAAGCTACCGATGTGAAATTTCCTCCGAAAAAGAGGAGAACGGAACGTGCAGCAGTCAATAAACCCAAAGAATCGAGTGTATTTTGAACTCGGATGAGCAAGAACGCGAGTTTAACGGTTACCACAGCTGATAGCGTCATTATTACGATATTCAACGGTGAAAACTTGTCTTTATTTACGAAGAGGAAACATCGTGAGTCAGAAAGTACACTCGCAGGCAGTTTATAGCCAGCCGTCTAGTTGGTTCACGACTGTGCAGCTCCACAACGAACGGAACCTACCGCATATCTTCTTATCGGCAATAAATATCATTGTTCGGCAAGGAAATTCGAGAATATCGTCGTCATCTTTATGATTGACAAGTCATCGGAAACATGGAGGCAGAAGAGGCTATACCGGCGACACCCTGGTACACCAAGTTCTTCGAATACTGGAGAAACAGGAACCGAGTGGGTCCAGGCAAGGTAGAGCTTCCCGACTGCGACTTCTTCATCGTGGGCCCACGAAGAACCTTGAGGATCTTGAAGCCCACCCTGAAGAGCGGTTGGTACTACGAGAACACCAGTGACCGGCCTGAATCCATCGTAGACAATTTCTTCACTCGGTGGTCGAGACGACCTCATTCTTCGGGAAACTGTAGATGCTCTTTCCGGCAGTCGAGGCGATTGAGCACCGCGGAAGAGCAAATCATCTCCGCGGAACTAAACAGAATCAGAACGAGCCTGTGCGAAGCTGAGAAGAGCGAGCATGGTATAGAAGAACTCGAGCAAAGAGTCTCGGTGAATTTGCAGAAACTGCAGGTTCCTGAAAACGAGCCAGCTAAGACGGAGGAGAAGGATGCTTCAGCAACGAACGACAATGATGGCGTCGATAAGAAAGATCAGCAAGCGAGCGAGCAGAAGATCAAGAACAAAATCGTGAAGGATCTGGAGAAGTATATCAACGTGCTGCTCGAAGAGATCTTGGACGACACGGTGAGGTACATAGCCGGCGCGGAGGACACTCTTATCAAAGATCCAAGGGTTGGTAATAAGGAAAACGGCTCGGAACGATCGAGCATGGATAAAGAAACGTCGAATGAAAGGAAATCAGAGGACGATGAACCGTTCAAAGACATCAGTTTCTCTTTCCACCCTGAGAAGCAGGAGACGGAGTCGAAGGAGAACGAAGGCTACGTGAATCGTGGCTTCATAGGTTCTGCCAACGATCCAGATTCGTTGGATTTTTATTTGAGGCCGGAAGTCACCTTAGAACAATTGGACTGCGTCGATTCGGGGATCAACAGCGTGGAGACGATCGAGTTCCAGCCGGACCAGGAGCCTAGCCTGGAGCAATCGTTGCTGAGGATTATCGACGAGAAACTGGGCAGAACGCCACTGTTGCTGAGAAACAGTTGGGAGGATCTGAGCGGCACAGGTGGCCAGGAGAACGATCCTCGAGGTCAGCCGACAAAGAGAGCGGACGGGACGATGATTCCGAGAAGCGGCGAGCAGCTGACCAACGAGGGATCGGAGGTCACCGGGAAGAATGATGCGGAAAGGAGCAAGCCGCAGGATTCGAGCGTTCGAGCAGTCCAACAAGGAATCGATATCTCGACGGATAATCTCGAGAGCGCGGACCAGCAGCCCGCGAAGCAGCTAGAGGAAACTGTTAACGAGGCCAGTTTCGAGAAGCTGCGCTTGGAATTCAAGGACAACGAGTCGTCCTTCAGGCCTAAGAAGAGCAACGCGATGGCCAAGTTGAAGGAAAAGCTCTGTGTGAACCCTGTCGAGTCCGACGAGTCCTTGGAGAACTCCAGCTGGAACGAGAAAATGGGAAGATTCGAGCTGAGAACGGAGGCTGCTCCCATCGAATTGGAGGATTACAGGAAAACGTGGCCAAATATCGAGGATATGGACCCTTCTATGGGAGACGAACAGACTCCTTTAGATTTGGTGACGTTTAGAAGAAACAGAAAACCCATGATCGTCTTCCTGCACGGTTTTGGGTCGTCCGCGGATATCTTTGAACATCAGCTTCAGTACTTTTCCGCTCTGGGCTATCCTTGCATCGCTCCTGAAATGCTGGGACACGGGATGAGCTCAGCACCTAGTCGATCCAGAGATTATCATTTTAATAAGCTTCTGAAGGATTTGGATACCATCCTGTGCCACTACGCGTTCAGACCCGGTCAGAAGTGTGTTCTGGTTGCACATAATTATGGGTAAGTCTGCCTGTTACGAGTATTCATTTCATTTATGGCTTCTTTACAGGTTTTCTGCTATTTTAACTTGTTTAACAAAACATTTCAGAACAAATATTAGAATGAATCAGTCCAAATGAACATAACGGGTATTTTATACCACTGGATATGTAGAGCAGAATTTCATTAAAACCCCAGTTCAACTTACTTTAAGCTCTTGCTGAAAATATACAACTATAAATAATCCATACTTATTACTGTACTAATTATACTTTTAAACGTGTGTGCTGACAACTAGTCTGCTAAATAGAATAGTAGATCTCATATGAAGCACTCGTATGTTAATTTCGACCTACCACATTGTGCCATAAATATGTGGGCATCAAAATTCGATGCTTAATCCGCTTTAATTAAAATATAATCGATAATCCGTAAACGGTAACATCCAGCTACCAACATACCGTCCCCGAGTATACCTCGGTCTACGTTTATCACCGTCATAGAATTATTTGACCGTGACTAGTAGAAACTTGACTGTAATCGCGTAACTTATCTTTGACCATTTAAAAGCATCTGTTGGTATCGTAATTGCACGGTACACGCGAGACTGTGTGTCTTATCGGATCTCTCTTCTTGAAGATTACAAATTCCTTGACGTTCAAATCGTTGCATTACCTGCACGCGTTTAACCGACAAAACGGCTAATGGTTGAAGTTGAAAGCGCATTTAATTCACGTTCCTCGAGTTCCTCAGATTTACCTGGCTGATCGATTCATTTTTACAAATGCCTGCGGAATGGACGTTTTAACGTTTCTTTTTAGTGCTTCATTTAATCGCGTTCAATTTATTTCCCGCGCCGAAACTACGATTCATCCGGCATTATAACGTGGCACAGTGTTATTAGAGTGTAACTTACACGGGTGAATTACGTTGCGGTTTCTTAGGTGAGAGATTCAATAATTAGAATGTTGCACGTGCTTGTTAATTTGTAATTTTGTATCAGGTCGTTCCACATGTAACGCGAATTTCCTGAGAGATAAGTTCAACAAATGATACTCGTTATGACTGTTATTTGTCTATTTCATACGTATTATAAATGGCAAATTAAATACCGCGATTAATATAGAAAATGGAACTTTAACACAACGGAGAGGTATTCAAGATAAATTATAACATTAGTCTACAGATAAAGATATTAATGGATAGGCAAATCAGCTTTAAAAAGGAAACTGCAATCTTAGAAATGAATACAACAGTTTTTGTTCAGAATTAACTGAATTTGATTTGCACTCTATATGTAGAAAAAATTGCATTAATTATAGTATAGTTAGAAAAAAAAGATGTAAACATTTAAATTGCTTGTATAAGACGATAATAATTTTTTAAGATCTGTCACGCGAGTCTCGTGATCTTTTTTTATTGGTAGTATAAATTACTAATGAATACGGTCAGTTGGCCGACAATCACGACCTACACGACGCGATGCCGTAATAACGAGGCGGGCGCTATTAATTCATCGCGCGACATTGCAACACGACATGTAGGCCGTTGGCTATGTCCACGAACCACGTACGGTTCAATAGCCGTTCAACTGTGAAAAAAATCCACACCTATGTCCTACACAAGATTGCGGCAACGAGTTAAGAACGCGTTCTCTAAGCTTAGTATGAATCGCGGAGAAAGGACATTATCGGTCGAATAAATAATGTCTCTGGATTTCGATCCTTTTTTCGTGAAAATATCCTGCAAAGATTTCGTTGTTCGCTTATGATAAGAATTTGGTTTCTTTTTGGAAAATCTAAGGAAAGACGAGATTGTTGGAAGAGAGACAAAGAAAATCTAAGATCTCGAGAAGCTTATGATTTATGTGGAACTTAGAATCTAGACAAAACTGAGGTAGAATCTAGAATGAGATCCTATGGAAACTTATGATTGGAGATCTGGAGAGAACTAATTGAGAATGTAGGACCTAGAAAAAGCGAAAACCTACAGGAGACCTAAGGAGAACTTAGAAGCTATGGAGATCCTAAGAGAGTCTAGGACTTAGAGCTCAAGATCCTAAAGGTGCTGGACCTAGAAAAAGCTAAAAGAGAATCTATGATCTAAAGAGAGCTTAATTTTCTCTACATTTCATCGTACCTAAAAGAAATCTAACGACTTTCAAATAGAAATCTTCATAGCAAAACTTTGAATTATGCAAACAAGAAAGAAATACCTCACCACAATGTATCATAGTTTAACATAGAAATAAAGTTCTGTGAAATGAAATGGACTGGAAAGGAATGTAAAGAACCAACGAGTGTAGTGATAAAGTGTCAATTGCGTAATTTTCGTTAATTACAGATGCAGTTTCGCAGCCGCGTTGGCTTGTAAATACGACACCAGCATCCATCAGCTAGTCCTGATATCCGGAGGTGGCCCGACACCTTTAGCAGCACCTAGCACCGAAAGCGCTGGTCATTGTTGCTTGAGAGCAATTCTGGCGCCCTTTTTAATGTGCGGCCTTCACAGAGATATATTATATTCGGCGAGAGGACGTCAACACCCATATTGTGGACCCGAGCCACCAGAACAATGGCCATCGCACATGAAACACGTTTTGGACGGCATGGTCTGGCCGGAAGGGGATTATGTTTTCCATAGAAGGATATGCACGCCGACTCTTCTCATACATGGCCTAAGGGACAACAAGGTGTCGCTCGTGCAGGAATGCCAAATGGAGAGGGTACGGTTTTTCGACAATTCTTTTATGGTATTCAGTTGTATACCAAACAGTTGTAAAACGGGAACAGTCTAATTTCGTTTCATGACAGAGAAGTATTGCAAAATAGCATTTTTGCTACGTCAATTTATATCTCAAAATTTGACAAAAATTTTGTCGGTTACAAGTGATGTATCAACTTATTTTGAAATATAAAAGTAGTCTAAAACAATTCATATTTCTAAAGAATTAAAATATTTAAATAATATTTGATAATTTAAAAATAATTCTAATTTTATTGCTAACACTAATTGTAATTATTTCATGTTTTAGACTATGTTGAAAGCTTTCCTCGAAGCTATACCAACTGCCGGCCATACACCAATGACTGATTGCCCGGAGCAAGTGAATCACATGATACACTGTTTCATAGATTTATGGAAGAACAAGAAGGTGGTTACGGTGAAATGACTGGGTATATATGTTCACTAGGAAAAAATACGTTTTGCGGACCATGTATGTTATTACTTGATAAGATTATATTTTAAATCAAGTTCTTTGTACGGGTATTTTACTCATTGTACATGACAAACGAAATCACAGTGCCTTGTGCTTGATTTGCCGCGGCGAATTGAATGCATCGAGACAAAGATTAGGATGGATTGTATATAAATCTAAGAGTCTAACGGGTGAAAATTCATTTGTATAGAATAATATTTTTATACAATTGTAATTAAGTAACCGATCTGTTTTTTTGAACTATTTTATCTTTTATACGAATTTTTATATAGCGAAGACAAATGAATATAGGATACTGAAATTTTGTAAAATTCTACAAGTCTGTATAGTAACTGTGCCAAAACGTGTACACGATTGTTGAAGCGATTCCGTTCGAATTTACGCAGCCTTTAATCAACGATCATCTTATTCTTTTTGTAAATGAAAGTGTAAAATACAATGTAGAGGCTATGTAGTAGCGTATAAGTTATACCAAAGATGATTTTATGCAAATGTTATTTTATGTGTTCTACCCGGAGTATAACTTATTCGTTTACAATAAAATTGTGTACAGATACTTGATTTGTTCGTGATTATATTTATTATGAGTCTTCTCATTTCACGTGTTCCTTGGAGCCATCTAATCAGTCGTATACGTGTTTCTTGTGTTTTGTATCAACGATTCAGGAGTAATTTTTGATTCAGAGGATTCTCGGGCGACTTCATCCATTCTTTCTTTAATATCTGCTTCAATTGACTTAACCTTAAAGTAGGATTTTGCTCCTTAATTATAGGCATCATTCTCTCTTCAAAACTTGCAAACGCAGCCTTCACACGCTTTTCAGGATGACGATCGATTTCTGGATCCTTTGTACTAAAATGGATAATTTTACATTTATTTAAGATGCACATTTAAATCTTATGCGAGCAACTTCATATACATTTCTACATTTTTTTTAATCGTGTTCTTGTTAAACTAATGCCATATTAAGATTTTAAAGAGTACCATTTCTAAGTTGCCCACATAAGTGTTAAAGAATGAGTATGCATTTGTAGTTATTGTTACCTTAAAACAGATAAAGCTTCATCTATACCATGTGCTGTTTCACCTTCAATAGTTAACCTATTCAAATTTTCTTCAATTGGTTTCTCTTCTTCTTTCTTCTTCGTCGTCGCTGCCTGATTTCGTTTCTCCGTTACCGCTACAATTTCTGCTCTAGTTATTTTTGCAGCAGGTTGTTTTCCACCTACTTTTATAGTTGCCATTTCCTTTTCAAGCAAAGCTTTCACTTCTGCTTTCTTCTCTAGCTGCTGTTGTCGCTTCTTTTCAAGCTCCTCCTGAAAGTTCAGTCCAATTGAGATAAATATTAAAATAAATCATTTACTTAAATTAGAAGGTATTCATTTATTTAAACTAAAAAATGTTCATTTATTTAAATACCTGTCGCTGTTTCTTTTTTAAGAGCTGCTTGTCGTCATCCTTCCAAGCTTTCTCTTCAGCTTCCAGAGCTTTTTTTGTATTTTCAGCTTCTTTTGCCGCTGCCTTCCTTGCCCTAGCAGCGACAGCTTTGCTGTTTTCACCGACGAACTTCTTGGGCATTTTGATCTATATTTTATTAAAAATAAATTCGTTTTATTAATACAGAAAGTATTACAAATTACAAGAATTATATTAGACATGTTAATGTTTAAAAAAATTAGCAATGAAAAAGTCTAAAGCTTTTACAAAGTTTTATCAAAATTGAAGAGTTGAACGTAGTTAAAATAAATCAATTTTTGCAGTTTTACATTGTTAAATTTTTGCATGTCCAAAAGTTTAAAAATTCGGATATTTCGCGCGCATACAAATTCCCCTAGGTTGGCAGCACTGCCACACGTGCGCAGATGCATCGGTCAGAGGAACAGTTGTTGAGGTTAAAAGTATCAACCGAATCATCATAAAGCAAAGCCGCTAATTCTAAAATATGGTGCAAGTGATCGAGAGAAATTCTAAATGACGTGGTACTTTGGTAATACATGCCTACGCAGAAAACTTTTGCGATACTTTGCAAATACTCGAGAAATGTCGAAGCAGGGTTCAAAGAAAGCTGGAAAGACTAAAAAAGTAGCGGTCACTGAGGTTAGTTAGCAAGATAAATTAACGGCTTACCAATCCCAATTGCGAGGATGATAAATTGATGAGTGATCGTGATTTGATCACCTATTAAGAAAATAACATGACATTTTCTATGTTACACCTTCTAGTTATATTTCACGCTGCTAGGCGTCGCTTGCGAATACAGGAACGGCAACGTTATATTTGCAATTTACTAGATACTGTTTTTAAAATAGAATCCCTCCTTATCAAGTGTTGCGCACTTTTTGAATCTAAAATTGAAATATTTTTGTACCTGTATTTATACATTCGACATAGCATTTCAAATATATTTATTAAATTCGTTTTGTATATTCCGATTGCGATTTTAACAACTTAATTTTAATAGGAACCGAAGGGACCCATCGGTACGGATAAAAGTGGAAATGTTACTATAAAAATTCAAGCAAAACCTGGAGCGAAGCATAACAATATAACCGGTAAAATTTTTTTGTAAATAATTTGTGATAAATTAAACTTCCAGTAAACATTTCTTTTAGATATTTCCGAGGATGCTGTAGGGGTTGCAATTTCGGCACCTCCTGTCGAAGGCGAAGCAAACACGGAACTCGTGAAATATTTAGCTTCCGTTTTGGGAATGAGAAAATCCGACGTGTCTTTAGACCGAGTTAGTTCAATACCTGTTGATTGAATTTCAATTTTCTTTCTCCCTATTAATTTTTATACGAGTTATTATTTTTTATAGGGCTCTAAAAGTCGGCAGAAGGTTATTCTAGTGTCTGGGACCACCGTGGAGAAAGTTTTGGAGAAATTGAAAGGAGAGATGGGGACTTGAAAATAATTGTAAACTTTCTGTATTATACTCTCTTTTCACGAGTCATATTTATCATACATAAATATGGCAGTTTCGTCGATGTGAACACGTAATTTTATACATCTTGTAAAAATATTTTGTTAATAATAACATTAATTTCGGCAGTTAAATAAGTACCTAAAAGCTTCGCTAATAATTTGGATTTTTATTCGACACGTAAATCGAATGTTCACTAATCTATACTTAAGAATATGCAGAGAATATTTTTTACAATACGTTTAATTCGCAACGCGACATTTACAAAGTATTAACATAGTCCCTAAATCTACATTGGTTTTTTAATACCTAGATTTGTATATTCCCTACCTAGTTTCTAAATTTAGTAAAAAGTACGAAAATACATGGAATGTGAATATAATAAGTACTTTTAGTCCTCGTTTGTATTTTAGTTCAGTTAAATTTAGTTTGATCGAAAAATAAACATTGTTATAAGCGTATTAACTCTGTCGAAGGGTCGTAGGTTCTTCATTGTTTTATATCATTCTGTCAACAGTTTTGTATCAAGGCCATCGGAGAAAGTTAATTAAACGTTCACTCTTGTATTTCGAAAGCTTTATCGTCCAACCACGGCCGAAATATCGGCAGGGTCGACGGGTAATGTGCTCCCCTTTTCGACGGTGCAGTTCCCGCTGGAGCACCTTCCTGTCTCAAAGGATACGTCGCCAGGACAATTGGTATTTGTAGCTTGATCTCTTTATCCAAGCTCTTCGGACTTATCACGAACTGTAACATAAAAGATAACACTTATAGTCATATCGCTGTAATATTTCTATGATCGCATTTATTCTAGTTATTCAAAATTTAGATTATCGATAAACATAACTGTAAGCAGTTCCGTGATGCTCTCAGTAACAATTGTGTTATATTACATGCGACAAAACATCTACAACACCTCTGTAGTTAACTTTTGTTATATTAGAAAACTAATATAAATTATTAGTTTTAATTATCATTTTACTACAAGAAGAATTCGAAAGTTTACAAAGAAATGTTACGATTCGCAGCTAAGAAGTCACATCGTTTTTTTCAGACACTCCGTTTATTTTGTGTAAAAAGGTTGAAGCAAGAAGCAGAAAGAAAGTGCGACTAATTAGTCATGCTACATGCAATTGTAATCACGATAATTTAAACGTTATTGTACTTACGTAGACGTGATAAAGAACGTTGATGAGATTGCAGCCACGAAGATTAGTGGGTGGTAAGGGCGGAACGTACATTTGTTCGTTCAGCCACTCTTCCCCTTCACCAGGACGGATCTTCCCTCGGGAAACACTTGCCAACTCTCTTGTCTCGCTTGCGAGTACTTTACCTCGACACCGGTACTGGATCGTTTCGGTCAAGGATGCTTTAGTCGACTTCATCGTTACCTGTTGAAGTTATCAATTATGCAAGATACAACTTGACAAGTGTTATCAAATATTCTCTTCAAATTTATGTGCCAATCAAGATGGATAACTGGTTATAAATCGTTCTTCGGATTAAATCTGAAGAAACTTCAAGTTCTGCGATGGTTTCCATTATTTTTCGTAAAATTATACTTTGCATGCCAGTATGATAAAAAATATACATTATAAAAAAATGACTTTCCAAAGGAAAATGGTGCAAAATAAAATTGTTACATCTTATTTTTTGAATATCTATTTTCATACATTTTGCATTATGAAATTGTTTCCAACAAATATCTTAAATTTTTGTTACACTAAAAGTTTGTCGTATATCAGAAACTTTTTATAAAACATGGAGGTAACTATAAAATGTCTTATAATTTTTCTCTTCTCATAAAAAGATAATAATTTTTAAATAGCCTTTGTATTCAGTTTCTTTTTAGGTAGAATTGCGAAGGTATTGGAAGGTTCTATAGTGCATCTATCGACACCTTATCGACTTGCTTCACATACAATTCAAGCAGAAAGAACATTCACCTGTTAAAAGATATACGATAGTATCATATTATGCTGACCCTATTTCCACGCTAGAAATTCTTTTGGTTAACCATCCAGTCGAAATATGATACGTACTTTGCTTCGATTGCTGACAGTCGCTGAAATGCCAATAGTTTCACCAGGTACGTATCCGCCTCGGTCGAGGCTCACTCTGCAAAATACTGGTCCTCCGGAAACGCAAGACACTCCGACCCGTTGTTCAATTTCCTGTCTTGCTGGTTGCTATTGGAAACAGATAAAAAACGTTCATTGGATTTTTCATCTTCTCTGATTTGATGCCTCAAGCTTTATATAATGGAATAATTATTGACAGGAGAACGCGTTGATTCCTGGCGAGCCAGTTGCGGCGACTTTCATTGTATTGGTGCTGAATTACAGTAGACTCTCGTTATATTGTCGCTTTTAACGGGATTTGCGGGCTAGTTGTATGGAGAGTTGTGTAATTAACAAATTCCTATGTCCTAAATTCCTATGTCACAAATTACTATGTCACAAACTTCTATGTCTCAAATTAATATATCCCAAATTCCTAAACTCCCAAATCTCTTATCTTCCAAATTTCTACATTACCAAATCCCTAAACTCTCAAATCCCTACACCCCCAAATCCCTAAACTCCCAAATCTCTTATCTTCCAAATTCCCACATTACCAAATCCCTACACTCTCATATTCCTACACCCCCCAATCCCTACACCCCCAAATCCTTACACCCCCAAATCTTTACACCCCCAAATCCCTAAACTCCCAAATCTCTTATCTTCCAAATTCCCACATTACCAAATCCCTACACCCCCAAATCCTTGAACTCCCAAATCTCTAACCCCCAAATCCCTTATCTTTCAAATCCCTAAACTCTCATATTCCTACACCCCCAAATCCCTACACCCCCAAATCATTACACCCCCAAATCCTTACACCCCAAATCCCTAAACCCCCAAATCCCTAAACTCCCAAATCTCTAACCCCCAAATCTCTAAACTCCCAAATCCCCAAATTCCCAAATCCAAGAATTGTCAACTGCTACGCCCCCCTTTGCGGCAATATAACAAGTCAACTCTTTGTGAAAGAATTTTCTCCAAGATGGACTAGCATAATTTTTCTTCTAAACAAGAAAATAACTGCTTTCCCCGTGGGAATAAGTAGTGGATGTAATTGAGCTTCTCTGTAACATAACAGTTTCTAGGAACAGGTGTCTATTGTCTTTCACTCTTTATTCTTTTCGCATACTTGCGATGTTCGAGTATTCATTTACTTCCACATTCACCGGGAGATCAATGCTATCGGCTATCACTTGAAAACCTGTCGATTACGCAATTCAAGGCGTGTGCAATGAATGTGACTACACAATTGAATCAACAATGCGGTCGCTCGCGTTCGAAACTGAATGTCACATGCCTACGTAATAATTATCTTATATTACATATTGTTTGCTGTTGTGCGTTTCTCTGGTCAGGTAAACGGCAATGCCATCGATGTAGCGTCAAACAATTTTCGCAACAAATTGTTCTGTTTTGCAGAAATTGTGTCGCGCAATGTCAGAAACCTTGAACTCGATAAAACAAGATGGAGGAGTGGAGAACAGACACTGACAGTCTTTGCATTATTCTGCAAGTATTTTATATGAAATAATGCACTGTACTGTTGTTATATCTTGTAATACAGTCTTCGTTATTATTTAAATTACCGTAAATATTCCTTGTTTTCCTTTTTTTATTTAATCACAGTGTTTTATTACTAAACGTGCAGAAGTTGGAATTTCATCAAGGAACTGTTTCAAGACACTGAATGAAGATTACTTTAATTACTAATAAGCCACCTTAAATTATAAAGCCAATACAATGTAGATTGTCATTTTATAAGTTTTAGTTAAAAAATGACTTATTAATGAAACGTTAAGAAGTATTGGTTTGAATAAAAGAACAGTAGAAGTACTACAAGACAAATTTTCATGACAAATGATTGGAAAGAACGTGTACTGAAATTTTGATGCAGGAAACGAAAGAAAGTAACATAATTTCCGTGGACCATGGGTCATGATCGCTTTCTACACAGGTCGTTGACCATTATCCAGAACTTGGTTATAAAACGCTCGAAGAAGCAAGAATCTGTTAATATGCAAGAAAGAATACGTGCGTGTAAAAACGTCACTTTTTTCAGACGTTACAGAACATTGCGATCAAGTAAGTGTAACTAATATCTGTGTTGCTGCGTTAATGTTCGCATAATTTTCAGAACGGTATCTCAAGCCGAACGAATCGAATTCCGAGTCATGTTCATCGATTAATTTCAATCAAACATAGGTTTCTCTCGTTAGAGAGCCATTACGAACGAAACGGTCGTGTCGCGTGCAACGAGATTGCAAATGAAATCGTTTAAGTGTAATCGTAAGCGCAATAAAATCAACCGACCGACACTGTTTCGTGATTTAGGACTCGTCGCGAGAGGATTTGTTTAATTACTCGTGAATTGCACGCCGATCTTCAATGTTAATTATATGTAATTCAATGTTAATTATAAGTTTATGTAGTTTTGGTTATATGCAGTTATATGTATGTTTGGTACCTTTGTAAGGTTTAAGAAATGTGGAATGCATTTTTAAAGGTTGATGAATGAGATTTAGCAATGGTGGATAGGGACCAAAGTAGACTCTACCCTAGGTACCTAATCTACTTCTAAAACAATATACATATGTAGGCAAGGATGTTACAAATTTTCAAACTCCAAATTCTCACATTTTTAGATTTCCAATAAACTGCAATTCGAAAATCCTTAATTGGAAATTTATAAAATTTGAAGTCGTCAAACTTCTAAATTTCTAACCTGTTAATACCCTAAATTTTCAAACTTGTAAACGTCCAAAATTTCCACATTGCTAAATTCCTAAAACCACCCCTAAAATTCTGAAACCCCTAAATTCCCATATTTCTGAATACCTAAATTTCTATATTCCTGAATCTCTAAATTCCTAAGATCCTAAATCCCCAAAATTCTTAAACCCCTAAATTCCTATATTTCTAAATGCCTAAATTTCTAAGTTCCTACCTCCCTAATTTCCCAAATACCTAAATACCCAAAATTCTAAATAATTCCCAAACTTCTAAATTCCTATATTTCCCAACTCCTAAATTCCAAATTGCCAAACTTCCACATTTCCAACTACTCCTAAAATTTTCAAACTCCGCGCAATAATATCAAACATTCAGTGTAATAATATTTAACCTCACCGCTAAAATTGGTTGTTCCAAATTCAGATCGATGGGGTTCATCACGATGAAGACTTGTTGATTCTTATGAGTCAAGCCACCGGGTTCACGAAGCGCAGCCTTGCAATAATACTGTACCCAGCCATGTTTACCCAAGAAAGTAGACGGCAGACCCAAAGGCAAGCCTAATTTGAATGGAAAGCTATGGATTCCCGGTGATAGCAGCGATGGTCCCTCTCCTGAACGATGGTGTCATCGCACGTGCAACACAGAACCAAGAAGAATGGTTTTTGCATTATTATGCGAAGCATGGTGGTGGCAGGTGCGGCATGGGGCACAGAAGTTTTTTACACAACCGTTGGATCGAAATGTTTGTATTTTTTAATAGTTATTTACGACTGTTTTCTTAGAAACGAGCTCGTATGAAAATTTATATTTTTGCTCCCAATTTCTAGCGTTTTCGTATTCTGAACTTGTCAGTAATCTTCATGCTCTATCAACTGGATTATAGAAAGTGACATTAGAAATTTTAGTTTCTATTGGTTTTACATGCTCTTGTTATATTGCTGTCTTTAGAAAGGAAATTAGAAATTTGAGGAAACTATAAGTGGGATACTTGAAAACTAGATTTCGAAATTTCGAAATTTAACTTTGAAATTGGGTGAATTTTTGGAAATTTTATAACACAGAAACTTGGACATTTATCTTCGAAAATCTTTCGGTGCAACCCTTTCTTGGCAATATAACTAGAGTTACATTATTCTGATACATCAAATACTCTTAATCTAATATAACTGTAAAAACAAACGAGCTCAGGTAAACTGAAGCATCAATGATTAAGGGTAATGCATCACTTCCAGTTGCGATTATTTATGCGAATTCTTGTGGACTTGATTTAACTATTAAAATGCAGGCTTATCGTGCAAGGTTCATTATACGAAAGTACATTGTGCCCATTTCGCCTTAACGGCTACATTAAATGTACCGTAATGCAATTTCTTTTCATTACCTGGCTCACCCAGTAATCTCATACGAAAATCAATGTAGTTTTCTTTGTCGTAAACCCTCTCGGCCCGTTGGCTGCGTACACGGACCACTCCTTCGCCGATTACGTGAAAATGCAACCCTGAAACACTGGAACACATCAAACGTATCATTAAACAGAGATTAATTAAATAATTCCATTCTTATCTTTCTTTTATAAATATCATAAACAGTGGGAAATTTTGTTCGTGCGTTTCCAACCTTTTCAAGAATGAACTTCTACTACATTTTTATTTTTTAAATAAATATATTAAAAATTTCATACATAGAATTTTAGTATTTTATGTATTTAATTAACGTACACATTATAACTAATATATTTTATTTTAAATTGGTAATGATTAAATTTAATATAAAAAAAAGATTCTGATATATGACCTTGGGTTATAGAATTTATTAAAGAATTAACATATATGTGTCAGCATCCTTGAAAAGATTAATTGGTTTCTTGATGCGATAAGTTCTTTGAGAAAAGAAAACTCGATTACTGTTCACAATTAGTTCCATAGATGGTTACCTAGAGGCATTTAATTCAAGTATCATTTATAAAAACTAGTGCGAAATAATTTGTTTTTCAACATTTAAAAATCGAGTTCACTTTCCACTGAGAAAGTAATTCTATATCATTAACACGATTCGAAATTGTTACACTAAATTAACACTTTCATTAGCATTAATTAATTATATGATTCTAACAGAGTGAAACCTTATTACGAATAATATGTGCCGAGTATAAAAGAACATTTGTTATCAGGATCATTCGCGTTAATTATTTTCTCAGTTAATTATTGTTATGACTATCACTACTAATTACTGAGTTATCTGTTCATGGTACTCGATTGTAATCATGATAAAATATTTATTACAGCTATAATCGATATTATAATACGATATTCATTATAACTAGAATAATTCATATACATAATTATAATAAACATAAATACATAAATACATAATGTTATGTATTGTAATAAATATTATAATATTGTATAATTCATTATTGTTATCGATGACAATTAATAATATGTATAATGAACGATACAATTATCCACATTTATGTCGTGAAAGTCTTCAACGGCCACAGAAGATGTTACGCGAATTTGACGTAATCACTCCCCCACATTTTCCGCCCGTTAATGTACAAAACCAAAAAGAATTCGAATTTCAGTCATCAAGCCGTCTGAAGGTTAATATTCAACACCTCACCGTGATGACGTCCCTTCGCTAATAACTATTCACAAATACCACTCTGAAAATAGCATCACCGATTCCATCACTTACGGATAAACCTTGAATATCACCCAATTACTTACTAGGCCTCGTCATCCAGCTCGATGAGTACTCTTCCCGACAAAAAGTGTCCCGGGAAATACAGGAGGTTGGTGTTGTCGAAGAGTATCAGGAACTTGCTCAGTTTTCGCGTCATGTTTTCGGCTGTTCAGGATCAGGATTAGGTGGAACGTTTAGCTAAGGTCGGAACTGTTTCACGATGATTGACGAGCAAAATTTGTGCATGCATGTCAGTGAGAATCACTGGCACAGCACTGCTATAACCTTGCACACGATACGTTTCTCTGTTTGGAACTGGTCTGGCGGGGAATCTCACAGCGCCAGGTAGGCTCTCCTCGATCCGACGATCGCGTCGTTCCTCGCTTTCATTTTCCACGCACGCACGATGATAATTTCGAGCCAACCGGTCAAGAATAAAACGAACCGGGTATCGACGGATCGACGGTAAAACGTCGATAACAATGCTCCTACGTCAAAAGTATCAGCCGCTGGCTCAAGGAGCCCGTCTCTTCCTGCCCATTCTTGGAGCTGTGTTCACTTTCGCTCCCCTACCTCCTCCTACTGCTGGTTTCCACCTCCAGCACCACGTAAATTACTCACTTTCCTCCGGTCGACCAATGGAGAACCGTTCTCCAGTTTCTCGTACACCGACCACGGATTAGATCGTCTCGGTTTGTCGCGTTCCTGACTAGCCTATACCTGGGGTCGATGGATAAAGTCGATAAGGTTCGTCTGGCATGGGGCACCGTGAATCCTACGGCTGGGGCCACACGAGCATGCATAATCACGTCCATTTGCGTCGGACGTTCATTTGCAAGTGTGTACATACATGTAGAGGAACTTAAGTCTCCCTGGGACCTCTTAGATTGCTCAATTCTAAGACTGTTTTTGGCACTTAGATCTTTTTGCCAAGGTCTTTTTAGAAACCTCGATTCTTCCACCACTTTTGTCAATTATATATTTTCTAGGACCTCCCTCGGATTTTTAGCTCTTCTTAGGATCTCCACAATTTTCAAGATCTCCCTGAGTTTTATGGTTACAGATCTCCCTAAGCTCCTCAAGCTTCAGTGGAACTACTGTGAATTCTTTTAACTTTCTTTAGGACATTTATAAGTTATTTAATTTTCTATAAAATTTCTTAGGATTCTTGAGGACCTCAGACAATTAACAGATGCTTTCAATACTCTGGATTCTTAATAGATATTATCCAAAATTGTTGACAGTACTCTATTAACAATATATGTATAATAGTGATGTATTTAAGAATTTGTATACATAGATCTTGAAATTTGAGAATGTACAAATCGGTATTTTGAAATTTAAAAATTTGGAGGTCAACGTGTGTTAATATTATACTGGCAGTACTAATTACAGTATACATATACATATGTCTCCATTATCTATTTTTTTAAAAAACATAAGGAATATTAAATATTTTCGCGCTAAATATTTAAATGTCGAGCGCAGTGCCATCGCGTGATCAGTATACGAAACCGCGCGTAAATGTGCGTTGGCAGTGATGGAGAAGAAGTTTGCTGATCAGAAAGAATATTTAAAGAAATATTTGTCCTCCGGAGATGGCGAAGATAAAAAGAAGAAGAAAAAGAAAAAGATGAAAGTCGGAGCAAAGACGTAAGTTGTAATTTGCAAATAATATACCTTCCCTTGGCAGTTTCAACAGTAAACCCTTGTGTTTTAGGTTATAGTAATTGTTTTACGCATCTTCCAGAAGTACATGTTTTGAAATTTTGTTTAAAGATGCGAAGGATCGTGTTTTCACAGAGAAAGTTACAAAATCGATAATCGATTTTAACTTTGGAAACTAATTGATCCTTTACAAAGATTGCTAAGTTCATTTGCACAAATTATAAGATGTGTTTTGCAGAGTAAAGATCATTGATGATGACATAGACTTGAAGAACATGAGACCTATGGAGGAAAACGAATTTGATATTTTCATTGATGCTGAAGATGCACCTCAGATCGCCGGTGTAGTGGACGAACGTGGACCGGTTGACTTCTCAGATAAAAGGAGATGGAAAATTGTAGCTGATACCGAAGGTGGAGACTTGACTATCACCAGTTCTAACAAAGAAAACAAAAGATCTAGGAAGGAAAAGAATATGTTGGATCATGATTTATCTCCACGGAGAAAACAAAAGAAACCTTCGGATGATAATGATTTGTCTCCTCCAAGGATGTCTAAGAAACAGAACAGAACAGATGCTGACAGTGATTTGAGTCCACCTAGAAGAAAGTCGAAGAAACATGCAAAGAAATCTTCGGAAAGTAGTAGTGACAGTGATAGTTCAGTGAATATTCCGACTCATAAAGTTAAAAAAAAGAAGAAAAGAAAAGAGAAATATTCTGACTCTGATTTAAGTCCACCAAGAAAGAGTAAAAAACATAAATCTGATAAGAAGTTAAAATATGGAGATAAACATGATTCAGACTTGAGTCCTCCTAGAAGAAATAAAAAAGGATCTGATTCAGACTTAAGTCCTCCTAGGAAAGCTAGGAATGATTCTGACTCAGATTTAAGTCCTCCTAGAAGAGTCAGAAGGGATTCTGATGGAGACTTAAGTCCACCAAGGAAAAAGAAACATAAACACTATGATTCTGATCTTAGTCCACCAAGACAAAGCAAGAAACATAAAAGTTCATACTCTGATGCTAAATATAATAAACACAGTGATTTCAACCCAGAGAGAGAACATAGGCATAGAAGCAATCATTCAGACTCACGCAGGGAAAAAGATTATAAACATTTTGATAAAAGCTCCAAGTCAAACAGAAAACATTATGATTCAGATTTGAGCCCACCTAGGAGAAAGAGTAAACATACAGAAAATTCTTATAGGAAGGAGAGATCTAAACACGATAGTAACAGACAATCAGAATCAAAACACAGAGATATTGATGATGTGGATAATGAAAGACGGATGAAGAAAACTTTGGATGGAAAGACAGCAGGATTGCAGGATGCTAGAGCTTTAAGAGAAGAAACAGAGGCACATAAAAAAAGAGAGGCTGAGCAATTCAGCAAGGTATTTGCTAATTTTATTTTCTTATTATATTGACTGTCATGTTGAAACAGTTTTATTGAGTAAATAAATTATTTTCTAAAATTTGTTTTCTTTTACAGCTTAGTAAAGATGTTACTGGTGTTGGTCAAGCGGTGATTGTACGCGATTCTAAAACTGGTAGAAAGCGTAACCTAGAAGCGGAAGCAGCTGAGGAACGTGAGAAACAAAAGCGGCAAGCAGAACTTGACGAAAAGTATGCTAAATGGGGAGCCGGGTAAATAAACATCTTATTTACAGCATAAAATCGCCTTTATGTGAAATTCTAAGAGAACACTTCTTTTATCAGTTTGAAACAAGTAGAAGATCGTGAAGAAAAGTTAAAAGACGATTTGTACGAAATGAGTAAGCCATTAGCGAGGTATGCGGATGATGCTGATTTGGACAGAAGACTCAGAGAACAAGAAAGAGAAGGTGATCCCATGTTGGAATACATTAAACAGAAACAAATAAAGGAAGGAAAGAGGAAACCAGGTAATGTATTATTTATACTTAATTATTGCTTGTTGATATGTTTGACACATGTACTTATATCTTAATTTTTATACTTTCAGATCGGCCAAAATACGAGGGGTCATATATGCCGAATCGTTTCGGCATAAAACCAGGTCACAGATGGGATGGCGTCGACAGGAGTAACGGATACGAAAAACGGTGGTTCGATGCTCAGAACGCAAAGATAGCTCGTCAGGAAGAAGCTTACAAGTGGAGTACTTCCGACATGTAAAATAAAAGTACATATTTTTTACAAATTACATAAAAACTGTGACAAAATATATATTAGAAATTGTAAACAACAATTTCTACTGCATATACTTAATAAAAACCACCTTAAATTCGTTAATAACCGTTCCAATTTTCTATCTGAAACATCTCCATGATAGAGCAGTCGCGCGTGCCGAAGGTGTATAAAAAAAAGAGCCGGCAGCTATTTGTCGCTCTTTAATAGAAGTCACGCGAGATATATACCGGAAACAAATACGCGAGTCGCGTTCGTCCGACATGAATCACTCGTGCAGGATTATCAAAACCGTAAAATCGATATTCGTTCCAGAAAACCAGACAAGTACGAAAGCTGGCGCCTGTCTGCCACCAGTCTGCTCGGTGCAACAAAGCGACCATCGAAGTTTGTGAAATCAATGAAAACTAGAAAATGTGCACACGAGAGCTGGGAGTGGCATTTAGCTAAAAGATAATCCGCCTTAAAGCGTATTTCATTTCATTTGAGTCAAGTTCGCAAAGTCATTATCGTTTTAATTTTTATTATTTCTCGCGCCACACGTGGATCTATATTCGACTGCAATTTGATGTAGAAATGCATTATTATCGCGTCACGTGAAATCATCATAGAGTTACATAAATTTATGGAAATTACGGGTAACACGTGTAATAAAAGAATATACGTATATTTTGATACGAGAGTATATTCGAGCTGCACTTTACAGATGTATAATAATAATTTCGCAGAATCACGTCATTTAACGTGGCGTGATATTAATGTGTTATTACCCTTAGGATCCTGGTTACGAAGGGAGAGTTCCCTATCACTTGAAGGAATCTCGAGTGAACTTAACACACATTAGAGAGCATGGTAGGCTTCTCTAAGAAAAGGCGACTGTATAAAAATGGGAAAATTTGAGTGTATAAAAATGGGAATATTCCTTTTGCAACTTCAAAAATTTGGGAATTGAAGAATTTATAAATGTAGAAATTGGGAAATGGTTGTTTGAGAATTTGATAAGTTAGGAATTGGAGGGTAAATTTGAAAGAAGGTGAAATTTTAAGAAATTTGAAAAATTGCTTTACAAATTTGAATATTTATTATTTATGAAGTTTTGAAAATTGGAATATTTATAAATTTATGAATGTGGTTTTTGCAGTGTTCCTATTTGATGTCCCAGAATCGGAGGAGTAGGAGTCCGTTCCCCTTGATCCATCCTTATCCAAAGGAAGCCTACAAGCACACACGGCTATATAAAACGATTGACGGGTCACTTGTTCCCCTACATTCCCCTAAAATAAAGGAAGCCTACGCTACACGCGACCATACATGCGTACGCATATATATCGACTCGCGTAGTCGCGACGCAAGGGCAGGGTCGTCGGCTGTGCCAGTACGCTTCGCGACGCCGACGAGACAGTTGTGTTCTTGGATAATCGTGTAGTTTAGCGTTTAGTGTTCGCCGGATGTAGCTTTTGTACGATTTTAATACCGCCGACATTTATCTCGGGAAAGTACGGAAACGTAACCGAATCGAATTTACCGATACGTCCATTTCGACCAACCGCACAAACCCCGTCGTACATTTTCGTCCTGGCTCGCGTAAGCCGGTACCACGCCGTGTCGTTCACCCCCGGTCAACGGAAAATTGTTTTTCTTCCGTACGCTCTGTGATTTATCGAATCAACGAATAATTGCGTCCTCGCCGAGTCATCCGGTTCACTTTTCGAGTACGTACACGGTGCGTGTCGCGGTTTCTTCGTGGTAATCGTGCCTTTTATACCGGACGACTCGATGTTAACGAGAAAAGTACTTGGTCGATCGTAATCGCGAATTACACGACGAGGAACGTTGGGCGTTCGCGATTGCCAGGATACAAAGGAGATCCAGAGAAATTCCGAACAGGATATAAAGGAGTAGACCAGTGAAAAATGGGATGCAATACGAGCAAGGAGAGTGTACAGCCGGTGGGGGATGAAGCCAAGGAGGATGTTAAGAACGGTGGTGAGTAACATACTTTTATTGTTTTTTTTTCTTCTAATGCATGATTCATCTGTGCAACTATTTATCATGTGACGATATTATTTACCGATTATTATTATTACGTAATGATTATTCGAGGGCATTGTCATTTTTGATAAAACTTCGGAGATGATTTAACTTTCCGATGAATCATTTCATCTTGTTAAAAAATACAGTTTTCTACCATCAGAGATAATAACCAGGAAAGAGGCAGCGGAATTTTCCCGACTCGTGCGGTTATATTAAAATATATCTTGTTATTTTTTCTTTTTTTTTTAATGATCTCACTGATATACGTAAAAATAGCTTTTAGTCAGATTTTAAACATTTCATTAACATATATGATTCATGGTAAGATCACAAGTTTTATGGTTGAGAAGTACGTTGTACTAACTTCAACCCCCTTTAATCGATTCTCCTTAAGATTCACTGATATCATATGGAGACATTTGGTGTCTTATGGAGATATTTTTAAGTCAGATTTTGGTTCATAAAAATTGCACGTATGTGACAACAAGGATATAATTTACAATTATATCAGCCCAAAACGTTAAACTATAAATACAAATGAAACCTTGAATTTCAACAATAGGAAAATATGCAGTTTATTTATGTTTGGCAAGATGCAGAAATTTCGCAATTATTTTATGTAACATATTTGCAATACAATAGGTTGAAGTATAGTTGTGAGAAAACAGTGAAGGTGATTTTTAATTCTTCGCTGCACGCTGCTGCAAGTGCGCTTCGCAAAGTAAACTACCAAATCTTTGTATTTTAACTGAATAACAATCTCAATAATAATTTAGTAATTTTATAATTTACTATTACTAAATATTTAAAACCATGCTATTGTTTGCATAGAAAGTACTCACAGAATATATTTTAAATTGCTGAAAATTATCTTCGGAGAAATTAGAAATTGTTTAAAGTGAAGTCTCTAATGAACCAATTAAGAAAGTTTTTAATAGGAATTCAGAAAAGTTCTCAGTTTAATGGTGACGTTTTCTTAAAACATTATTGATGATGGTCTGATGATTCAAGAGCTCTGATCATCTTAGCAGCGCAACATTCGTTTAACCTTTTAATTGACTAATCGTCAGTCGTTCTTTTGCGATAAACAGTTGCAGCATGAACTTTATATCTTCGCGAGAGTATTCTTTTGTTGGAGAGTTAAGCAATGTCTGTTATCAATTATCACGGACGCTTTTCTGCGTTCTTAAGTATAATTATTATTCGGAATGCGTTGGAACGGATAATACAATTAATAGCTAAAAATAACTGTTCAACGAATTTATTTATTTAAGATATTTTAGTATATGTACAATGACAAAGAATCTATTTACTGAGGTAATTAAGTATTAAAATAATAAAATAATAGATCAGTGTAACAGCAAAATAGTATTATAATAATATAACTAATTAGTGAAGTAATGAAGCAGTCAAGTAATAGAGTGGCAATATAATGAATGAGTCAAGTAGCTAAATAGTGAAGTACCTAGTCAGTAAAACAATAGAAAAGTATAACAGAAAAATAGTACTGGTATGATAACTAAAGAAAATAGTAGTATAATAATATAGTAAAGTAGTTAACTAACAAGGCAGTCAAATAGTAGAGTGGCGATATAACGAGTGAGTCAAGTAATTAAATAGCAAAATATCTAGTTAGTAAAATAATAGAAAAGTATAACAGAAAAATATTAGTGGTATAATAACTAATGAAAGTAGTAGTATAATGTAGTAAAACAGCGAACTAACATTACAGTCAGATAGTGGAGTGGCAATATAACGAGTGAGTGAAATAGTAGAGTGGCAATATAACGAGTGAGTCAAATAGTAGAATAGCAATATAATGAGTCAAGTTGAATAGTAAGTAGTACAGTGTACTAAGTTATGATAATAATTATGAAACAATAAAGAAGTAAAATAGTTGAATAGCAAACAAACCAAACAGTTAAGTAGTAAAGAACTAAAATAATAAAATAGTATAACAGCAAAATGGCAGAATCTGAGATCTAATCTCGAGCAGGATTTTAAAGCGATAAATTAAAGTTTCAAAAAAATTTTCATTTAGTCACAGTGTGGAATTTTATCATTGTTGACGTCATAGAAATAGCTCGGTCATAACCCGGGGCCACCCCTTTCATTTACCCCACGGTATGACCTTTGCACTTAATCCTGGTAACTCAATCGAAGGTGACAACAGCGCATATCGGATAAACAATATCTAGTCTATTCCCTAGGACACAAGAATCTCCTTTCATGATGAGGAACTTGATTCCTCGAGTTACAATTCTTCGTTGTAAAACGAAGGTCAATAGATCTCTCGAATTACTAGTCTGATGTGTTGCTTCTTGGCCTTCTGTCTCGATTTTTTCTTTCATCCGATTAACTCGTCGCTGTTATTAAACTACGTTGCATCCTTCGTTTAATCCTTTTCTTAATTACGAAGCCGTTGGAAAATGGAGTCGGACAATTTCTTGACAGTAATTCTACAGTTTCTGATTGTCGAAAGCAATCACAATTAATTGATTAATTTTTGTTGCAGTCTTGATTTATTTTTCATTAGTTACTCGTTATTGATGTATTATTAATCAGTTTATATTGTAGCTTTGATTAATGCATTATATTGTAACCTTGATTGTTAATCGATCAATTTATGTAACCTTGATTTATTTGCCAGTAATCAATCAGCTCATACATTGATTAATGGTACATATTAATTAATTTACCTGGATTGCAATCTTAAATTATAATTACTCAAATTAACTTTTCTAATCTTGATCACCATTAATCAATCAACTTGTAATGCAACTTACATTCATTTATCATTTATCTTCATCCCTCAACCTGTACTGTTTCCATAATTGAAAGCAATTACATATAATTTTGATCGTACACATACTTTTTATTATAATTACATATTTTTATTTTGATTACATATAATCTTTATATCTGTAATCAGTTTTTATTCTTTCAAAGAGTAATTATATTTGGATAAAATCACCAATAACCTCACAAACTTTTTATGCAACCATGATAAACATACAGAAGGTACATTAATTATCTCTTAGAATGTTATAAGAGGTTAATCATGATCAAAAGAGTACTCATTTCGTGATTAATGGTAGTTCAGCTGATCATGTCCTTTGATTACGAGTCTCAATTACTTTCTTATTCATCGTATATTATCTTGCCTTCGTTTATGGTTACTTATGAATGATGTAATTTATCAAATACATTTTCGTTCAACTTTGCTCTAAAACTTTAATGCTAATATCAATACTTAAAATTATTTAATTATTTGAATATACAAATTCCTAAATTTCCAAATTCTGATCCTGCAATTTAAATTTAATTTCATACCATTTCCATCTTGTAAATTCCACAGAATTTCTGTGGAGTATACGAGACCTCGTTTAAAAATTGGCAGATTGAACTTTAGTAGAAATCCCATAGGTTCCCGATTAACCTAACTCCGTTCGAGGGTTAAATAATGGACCCACGAAACTATACATAGAACCACGTGAATTCATAAACCCAAACTTCTCCATTTTCAATATCTGTTACTAACTTTTCCTTTGCAAAATAGGCATAAAATCAGCGCCGAAAGTCAGAAAGTATATTCTCGATTGAACGAATCGAAATATTCGAGTCACGAACAGGGCCGTATATTTCGTTTGGGTACTCGAGCACGAAATCTGTTCGTACGTTTACAATATTCACACGCGATGTATCATCGTCATTCGGAATAATATTTTGGCTCGTTCGTTCTTCTTTGGTATTCTGTTTACTTCGCGTTCTATTTGCGACAACGTAGCTGCAGGCGATATGTGGAGGATGCAATTTTAAAAACTGCATCCATTATGAAATAATTTATTCCTTTTATTTTTTAATATTTAATGCGCTGATTTATGTATGTTCTTGGTGAGATATAATGGTATTTTATGTGTATCGTTATTGCAGTAGTGGTTTGTTGTTATTTTACTGTTTTGGTATTTTTCTGGTTTATTCTTTTGATAGTTTGCTAGTTTGCTAGTTTGCTATTTGGTTATTTTGGTATTTTGGTATTTTGGTATTTCACTATTTCCTCATTTCTTCATTTCACTGTCTGGCTATTTTGCTCCTTCATTGTTTTACTGTGATCTTTCTTTGTGGTAGAAAATGGCTGATTGCCAGAAAATTTTTTATTTTGTTATCTGAATATTTTACTGTTTTACTATTTTACTGGTATGCTGTTTTACTACTTTGCTATTTTATTATCTCACTATTTCAACATTTCACTAATCTACTATTCCACTATTTTACTGTTCCACTCTCATATTCTTCTCACTTGTCCATAATTCCACTACATTACACTGTAACTATTTTGGTCTTCTTTTTTATCATTTTATTATCTTGCCATTTTACTATCTTATTATCCTACTCTGCTTCACTATTTTATCGTTTCATTATTTTACCATTTGTACCAATTTTCATAAAATTTCAAAAAAAATTGTTGACAAAACTAAGATCATTTCATTATTTTTCCACCTGTACCAATTTTCATAAAACTTAAAACAAAATGTTGACAAAACTAAAATCATTTTAAAATATCTGAAATCTGAAACTTGCCTATGTAATCATCAAAGTATCATAATTGTATAAATTTGTTTCACGACCTAATGACGTATTCTTGAAATAGTAAGCTTCCCTACATAGCATTAAAAGTAAAGAAAAAAGAACACTACAGTTAAAGGCACGTTGCCATCGAATTATGCATCAGTGGAAGCATCTTTGCAAAGCAATATCGGTCGTATACGTATGAAAATTTTATTCGAGACGAATGGTTCGCGTTTCCTTGCAGACGTTTCAGATAGATATTCCACCTCACGGAGGATCATCGATAACGCGATATTATCTATCCGTTTCTATCATCTCTCATCCTGTAATATACATACAGCAAATTTTTATTTCTATTAATCTTTTGTTCTCCAAACTTGATA